AGAACTGCCATGAAATAATAAGTATCAGCAAGGATGTAGAGAAACAAGAACACTTGTGCACTGTTGGTGGAAATGCAAACTGGTGCAGTCACTGTGGAAAACAGTAAGGAAAACAGAATTATCATATGACCCAGTAATTCCACTACTGGGTATTTACTCAAAGAAAACAAAACACTAATTTGGAATGATATATGCAGCTCTGTGTTTACTGCAGCATTATTTATAACAGCCAAGATACAGAAGCAATCCAAGTATCCATCCACAGATGAATGGATAAAGAAGATGTGGTAATATATATACATTAGAACAATACTCATCCATAAAAACAAATGAGATCTTATCATCAGTGACAATTTGGATGGACCAAAAGGTATAATGCTAAGTGAAACATCAGTCAAAAAAAGACAAATACCAAATGATTTCATTCATGTGTGGAACATAAGAAAAAGAACAAACTAACAAAGAAAAAACGGACAAAGACAAAATCAGATTCTTAAATACAGAGAAAGAAACCTGGTGGTTGCCAGAGGGGAGAAGGGTGGAAGGATAGGTGAAATAGATAAAAGAGATTAAGAGTACACTTATCAATAATAATAATGAGCACTGAATAATGTACAGAACTGTTGAATCATTATACTGTACACCTAAAACTAATGTGACACTGTATGTGAATTATACTTTGGTGAAAAAGAAATTTCCAAACCCTAAAAATATTAAAAAAAAAAAAATTTTAAAGGTGACAATGATAGATTATATTTTTTACCACAACAACAAAAACTTTCTGTAGGTGTGGATGAAACAAACTATTAGCGTTCAATGTTTAATCCCTCAAAATTCTCTAATAAATCCAGCACTTACAAATTTTACCATTTAATAATATAATTTTAATTAGAACTCAACCATTTAACAATTCTTAAATGATATAGTCCTCTCCAAAATTAATTTTTTTATGATAATGAATTGTTAAACATCTGTTTCAGAAACTTCTTAAGTAATTAAGGACAAACCCTCATGACTATTTTGAAGAAAATAAGAAATCTTACTTATTTGACATTTCAACAAAGGTCACAGGAAAAAGATTTTATTTTATTTTATTTATTTATTTATTTATTTATTTATTTATTTATTTATTTATTTATTTATTTATTTATTTATTTATTTTCAATATATGAAATTATTGTCAAATTGGATTTCATTGTTAACACTCCAGTGCTCGAATCCCAAAAGGTGCCTTTCCTTCCTTCCTCCTTCAAATATCCATCACTCACCCTCCCCTCCCACCCCCCCATCAGCCTCCCTGCTGCTTGTTCTCAGTTTTTAAGAGTCTTATGCTTTTGTTTTCCCATCTCTAACCTCTTTTTTTTTTCTTTTTTCTCCCTTCCCTCCCCCATGGGTTTTGTTATTTCAGATCCATAAGAGAGTGAAACAGATAGTATCTGTCTTTCTATGTTTATTTACACTTAGCATCACACTCCCTCTAGTTCATCCACGTTGCTACAAAGGCCATATATTGCTCTTTTCTCATTGCCACACACACATGTAGTACCGCATTGTGTATATAAACCACAATTTCTTTATCCATTCATCAGTTGATGGACATTTAGGCTCTTCCATAATTTGGCTATTGTTAGAGGAGTGCTGCTATAGTATTGGGAAAGGAGTATATGTGCCTCCCCTCTATGCCTCAGTACTCCTTTTGGATAAATTCTAGGCAGTTATTGCTGGGTCATAGGTAGTCTATTTTTAATTTTCTGAGGAACCTCCACACTGTTTTCTTCTGAGTGGCTGCACCCTCAATTTGCAGGCATTCCCACCAACAGTGCAAGAGGGTTCCCTGTTTCTCCACATCCTCCACCATCTATAGTCAGTCCCCTGGGATTTGTTCATATTTTGACCACTCTGGACTGGAGGTGATATCTTATGGTTGATTTGTATTTCCTGATAAGGAGCGACATTGAGCATCTTTTTTCATGTGCCTGTTGGCCATCTGGATGTCTTTTATAGTACCATTCATGCTTTCTGCCCATTTCTTTCTCACTGGGTTATTTGTTTTTCTGGTGGAGTGGTGTTTTTTGGTAGATTTTGGATAGCTTCAGTCTCTTTGTCCCATATGTCATTTGCAAATATCTTTTCCTCCGTTGTTGCTTTTTAGTTTTATTATTGTTTTCCTTTTGGTTACAGAAGCTTTTATCTCTCATAAGGTCCCAGTAATTCATATTTTTGCTTTTAATTCCCTTGGCCTTTGGGGATGTGTCGTGAGTGGGATATTTTTCCTGGCCTCTAGGGTTTGTTTTTTTGGTCTCACATTCAGGTCCTTTATCCATTTTGAGTTTATTTTAATGGTAAAGAGTAAAAGTGGTCTAGTTTCTGAACTTCTCTTGTATGTTGCTGTCCAGTTCTCCCACAGCAATCCATTTGTTGTGTTAGACACTGTCTTTTTCCATTGGATGTTCTTTTTTTTCCTGCTTTTGTCAAAGATGAGTTGGCCACACGCTTGTGGGGTCTAGTTCTGGGGTTTCTATTCTACTGGTCTATAACGTTTTTGTGTTAACATGCTGTCTGATGATGACAGCTTTCTTAGGTAGAGGCTAAAGTCTGGGATTGTGATGCCTCCTGCCTTCTTCTTCAAAATTACTTTGGCTATCGGGGCCTTTGTGATTCCATATGAATTTTAGGATTGCTTTGTTCTAGTTTCTAGTAAATAGCTCTAGCGGTAAGTGTGTAGTTTCCTTTCGATTTGGGTAATGTGAAATGTGTAGATAGCTTTGGGGTAGTATTGACATTTTGACAATATTTATTCTTCCAATCCATGAGCAGGAATGTCTTTTCCATTTCTTTATATCTTCTTCAATTTCCTTCATAAGTTTATAGTTTTCAAAGAGACATGATCTGTTACATCTTTTTGGTTAGATTTATTCCTAGGTATTTTATGCTTCTTGGTAATTGTGAATGGGATCAGTTTCTTTATTTGTCTTTCTGTTGTTTCCATTGTTAGTATAAGATGCAAACTGATTTCTGTAATACTTGATTTTTGGTGTTGCAACTTTGCTGAATTCATGTATCAGCTCTAGCAGACTTGGTGGAGCTCCATCGATTTTTCCATACATATAATATCATGTCATCTGCAAAAAGTTTAAAAGCTTGACTTCATCTTTTGCATATAATTTGATGCCTTTTGATTTCCTTTTGTTGTTCGATTGCTGATGCGCTAGAACTTCCAACATGAAAGTGCTAAACAACAGCAGTTGAGAGGGCATCTCCCTGCTATACCTTGACCGGAAAAAGCTCTCAGTTTTTCCCCATTGAGGATGATGTTAGCTGTGGGCTTTTCATAGATGGCTTTTATGATGTTTAAGTATGTTCCTTCTATCCCAACTTTCTCAAGGGTTTTTATTAAGAGAGGGTGCTGGATTTTGTCAAAGGCTTTTTCTGCATCGATTGACAGGATCATGTTGTTCTGTCTTTTCTTTTATTAATGATGTATCACGCGATTGATTTAATGTTATCCAGCCCCATCCCAGGAATTAATCCCAATTTTGATCATGGCATACCTTTATATGCTGTTGAATTCGATTTGCTAGTATCTTATTGAGAATTTTTGCATCACAGGAAAAAGATTTTAAGTACCACATAATTATCATGCTTAATATAGTGAAGTAAAAATATCCTGACATAATTCTCTTTAAAAAATAAAAAAAAGCTTTTTAACAAAAAATGATGTACTTTGTTCTGTTCTTGTGTTTGCAATCTAAGATACTATTAATTTTACACTTTAGAAATTGTATATGGAGCCCTGAAAATGATAATGATAAATATGAGTCATGGGCAAGTTCTTAATGATTAAAATGATCTTTTTGCACTATACTCATAATTGTCTCTAGGTGTGACTTATTATCATAGAGATTTAACATGAGTTGATGGAAGAAAGTGCTTAATTGAAGTTTTAATGAAGTTTTATACTCCAATCCAACTCTTTACCATCTTCTTGTCGGTATTCATGGTTCATTTTCTATTTCTAAAAACTACAGGACAAGAAATTCTATACTACTAAATTACTACTCATTGCAATCTAATTAGCATCCATATAGAATTATCAACCATTAGTCATTTAGTAGGCAATTTCCAATAGTATTCTAAACTGTAAACAGAAAGCATCAAGGGTATTAAATCAATCTTACCAAATATTTGCGAGCAGTTCTGAAGTTCCTTTACAAAAGAGCAGGAGAATAATCATTTTCATAGTTTATTAATAAAGCATAAAGAGTTTTGATATCAGGCAGAAGAGTATCAAGTAAAATGACCAATGATATTAAGTTAGCAGTTTTTAATAAATTGAAGGAGGAGGAGGAAGAGAAGGTAAAGAAATGTTGGACAAGGTAAGGTTTTACTCTTAAAAATATTTCTCCCTAAGAAAACCAAACATGGACTGAATATATACAACTGTGCTAGAACAACTTTTGAATGCCAGTGCCAGCCACAGAAAAATGGTAGTGTAGGTTTTAAAAGATGTGGGCCATCAAAACCATTCCATCATATCTCTCATAAATTCTAAGGCAGTAAAATGTTTTTCATAATTAATGAAGGCTTACTTTATTTGCTCTGTTAGTTTTAGTTAAAACTTGTGATAAAGTATGTTATATTTTAAGTGCTTTGTAATAATTTATCTATATTTTTTGCTCTCATTCAGTGTAACAGTTGTATCTAACCATGTATGAAAAGACTTGAAATACAATTTCACCAATTTGAACATATAAGGAAGTTTTCTCAATTTGTCATATCCCCATTTTCTTGAAGACAAATCCTTTGTTAAGGCAATTAACTTTCAATGTTATTGTTAAAGAAAACAGCATTTGCTTTACAACAATCCTGTTTCTGAAGACAGCATTAGGTGAAGAGTGTGGAGTACTCAGAAACAGTGCTTGATCAGTTACATTACTTACATATTTTATATATTTATTTTCTTAATTACTAGGATTTCAATGTTTTTTCTCAGCACTTACTTTTTTGGTCAAAGAGTCATCAGTATCAGAAGGCATTCTTGTTGATACATGAAATATTACTTCTACTGTGGAGGTAGCAAAATACGGTGTGGTCAATCCAGTGCTTTTGTTTTTTTGTAGTCCTCCCATGAAACCACAGTGGTTTGTAAGATTGACCTGGGAGCAATGAAGAGACACATAATATTAGTCAACTAAACAAAACTCAAGAACTTACTATTGAAAAAGACTCAAATTTCTCAATTTGCAAAAATATATGGAGAACAAGCCTTCTGCATGTTCTCAACTAATGCTTGATCCAGAATTATTAGTTAGAGCTGCTCTGTTCACACTGGTACTTTTTCTTAGGTATTTGAGGATGCCTAATTAGTAGGAGTTAATTAGGAAAGAAATCAACTGCTGTGCACTATGCATCTTTTGTTAGGCTACTAGGTGTTAATGCTAAATTGTGAAGCCTATGGGAGGACACCAAGGCCAGAGAGAAAAATCAAGTGGCAAAAACCAAGACTGGAAAGTTAAAACAATGATGTCACTTTGATAAGATGATTAATTAGATATGTCATATTTACACATTGAAACTGGTTTCTTAATTATCAGTACCTATCACACAGCTCAGAACAAAAATACAAAAATGCAGAACTGCACTTCTCATGCATTAAAAAAGTACAAATTAATCTGTGCAGATTTTTGCACATATTTTTTTCCTGAGTATAAATAAAAGACATGCTAATATCAGGGTCACTGCATTGAGTGATATTCCTTGGACTTGTGTGATACTTGTGTGATACAGCAACTTGTCTTGTCTTACTGAAAATTAAAGAAATACTAGACAGGAAAAAGAAACACAAAAGGAAAAAGAAACTTAAACACTGCTTGCATCTCTTCACTCGGAGAAACCACTTTATATGTATATTTTTAAAAAATAAAATCTGAAATATGGATGGACCTAGAGGGTATAATGCGAAGTAAAATAAGTCAGTCAGCTTATGATTTCACTCATATGCGGAATTTAAAAGACAGAACAGATGAGCAAAGAAAAAAAGGAACAAACAAAAAAGCAGACTCTTAAATATAGAAAACTGGTGGCTGCCAGAGGGAAGGGGGGGGCCGCGTGGGTGAAATAGATAAAGGGAATTGAGTATACTTATTGTGATGAGCACTGAGTAATGTATACAATTATTGGATCATTATACTGTACACTTGAAAGTAACATAACAGTATGTTAATTATACTTCAATAAAAAATTAAAATTAAAAAAAATCCAAGTAACTGATAAAGTGAATTATAAAAACCAATCTTTGTACCATGTGAACTAATCATGTCTCAACTATCAATATCAGTTACAGTGGCTGAACATATGAAAAATTAGTTTTTACACCACTACAAGACTGCCTCATCACTTATAAAATTAAAAAAAAAATTGGCTCAGTAATACATTCATATAATTAAAAATTCAAAAATATACCAAAATTCTTCCTTTGATAGCTCTTGTGTATAGCTACTCAGTTCCCTTTCCAGAAAGCAGTTTATTAAATATCCTTCCAAAAACGTTCTCTGTATATGCAATTAAATTCTTATATGTATGTGTGTATACACACACACAGCACACACATATAATGTTCTGCACCTTGCTTTTTTTTGCACTTAAAATACCCTGAAAAGTACTCATTAGTAAGTAAAGAGCTTCCTCATTTGTTTTGTTTTCATGGCTTCACAGAAGTTTATTTTCTTGATGTACAATAATTTAACTAGTCCCCTACTTGAAGGATATTTAGGCTCTTTCCAGTCTTTGCTATTATAGTCAATGCTGCAGTGAATAACACAGAATACATGTCATGTTGCATTTGTGAAAGTAGAAGTGTAGGACAAATAATTAAAAGTGGAACTGTAAGTCAAAGGGCATATGCACTTTTAATTTGAAGCTCACTACCAAATAGCTCTCTACAGATGTCACCAACAGTGAATACGAATACCTGTTTCCCTCATGGCCTCTCAAATATATTATCAAACTTTATGATCTTTGTTAATTATGATAGGTGAAAAATAGCATATAAGTGCAGACCTTTTGTTTTGTTTTAGTGAACAGGTTATTTATCTTCAGGTTAATTCTCTGATCATGTCATGGAGAAAAAGTCTCATTTTAGTGTTCCTTTGCTCTAAACACTTTTGTAATACTTGATGGTCTCTATGTTTTTAATTAAAATTTTTATCTAGAGATAACTGTAGATTCACAAGAAGTGTTATGTGACTTGTACCAGATTCCTCCAATGCAAAACTGTATTATAACCAGGATACTGGCATTGATACGATTAAGAAACAACATTTTCATCACAAGGATCTTCACTTCCCTCTTAACCTACCCCCTGAAACCCTGGCAATCAGTAATCTGTTTTTCACACTAAAATGGTCATTTCAAGAATGCCATATAGGGGTGCCTGGATGGCTCAGTCAGTTAAGCGTCCAACCCCAGCTCAGGTCATGATTTCGCAGTCTGTGAGTTTGAGCTCTACATTGGGCTCTGTGCTGACAGTGCAGAGCTTGGAGCCTGCTTTAGATTCTGTGTCTCCCTCTCTCTCTTCCCCTCCCCTGCTTGCGCTCTCTCAAAAACAAACATTAAAAAAATTTTTTTTAAAAAACATCAGTGAAATAATTTTTTAATTATTTTATTTTTTCTATAAATGTTTTTATTTATTTTTGAGAGAGTGTGAGCAAGAAAGGGGCGGGGGAGGGGGGGGGACAGAGGATATGAAGCAGGCTCTGCACTGACAACAGCAAGCTCAATGTGGGGCTTGATCTCACGAACCATGAGATCATGACCTGACCTGAAGTCGGACACTCAACCAACTGAGCCACCCAGGTACCTCAGACAGTGAAATAATTTTTGTATCAACCATCAAACATAACTATGAAAATATCAGAGGGGAAGTAAAGCCTAGTGTATTTACCCATATTTTTTCTTGCCGCGCTCTTACTTTCTAGTGTTCCAAGGTTCTATCACTTCCTTTCTGTTAATAGAATGTCTTTTAGTTCTTCTTTTAGGGTAGGTCTGCTGGCAACAAGTTCTCTAAGTTTTCCTTCATCTGAGAATGTTTTGCTTTATTCCTTTACTAGCTATATGATTCTGGTTGACAGCATTTTTTTCTTTTAGCACTTGAAAAATATTGTCACTTTTTTCTGATGAGAAATTCACTATTATTCTAATTGTTTTCCCCTTATAGACGAGGAACAAATTTTCTCCGGATGCTTTTGACATTTTTTTGAGACTTCTTATTTTTCAGAAATTTAATTATGATGTGTCTTAGTATGGATTCCTTTAGATTTATCCTGTTTGGGTTTCACCCAGCTTCTTCAATCTGTAGCTTTATTAGCTTTATTTCTCCTGCCAAATTTAGGAAGTTTTCAACATTATCTCTTCAAGTAATTTTCAGACTCAACCTCTTTCTCGTCTCCCTCAGATAACAGGAATGTTAAATCTTTTGTCATAGTCCCATAGGTCTCTGATGCTTTGTTCATTGTCCTTAAATCTATTCTCTCTCTGGGGCACCTATGAGCTCAGTCGGTTGAGTGTCCAATTCTTGATTTTGGCTCAGGTAATGATCCCAGGGTCATGGGATCGAGCCTTGTGCCAGGATCTGTGCTAAGCATGGAGCCTGCTTGAGATTCTCTCTTTCTCTCTCACCACCCCTACCTTCCTTCTGCCTTTGCCCCTTTCTCCACACAATGTGCTCTTGCTCTCTCTCTTTAAAAAAAAGTCTATTCTCTCTCTGCTGTTCACATTTTTTACTGTTTTATCTTTCAGTTTATTGATTCTTCTGTACCCCCATATCTATCTGACTCTCTTGCTGTGCCCATGTACTGAGCTTTTTATTTCAGTAATGAAATTTTCAGTTCTAAAATTTCCATGTAGTTCTTTCTTGTATCTTCCTTTTTTTTTTTTTAATTACTAAGACTTCCTATTTTTCATTTATTTCAATTGTGTTCTTCACTGCTTGTGAAGGCATTTATATTATGGTTATCCCAAAATCTTTGTCACTTGGTGTTGGTATCTACTGTCCTCTTTTCATTCAGTTTGAGGCCTCTCTGGGTCCTGGTATGATTTTTGATCAAAGCCTAGACATTTTCATGTTATGAGACTATACATCCTATTTAATCCTCCTGTCTTAGTTGGCTGTTTTGTGACACAGCTCTGTCAAAGAAGTGAGGTGGTTACTGCCTCACTATAGTTAGATGGAGGTTCCCCACTTAACTTCTGCTGACACCTGCAGAAGGGAGATCTTCATTACTGTTAGGTGGAGAAAGGAGTTCCGGTTTCCTATGTCGTATCCACTGAGACAAGGTTAGTCCTTAGTTAGTAGGGTTAGTCTCATTACTGCTGGATGATGGTGAAAGGCCTACTTTTCCACCAGGCCTCCTGTGATCTACCCAGTGGAGGAGGCAGGGTAACTCATTATGCTGGAGGTGGCAACAATTTCTAGGTTCCTCATGTAGTCTCCACTGACCTTGTGGTGTGGACTCTCATGAGGGTGAAAGTCTAGGCTCCCTAACTGACCTTTGTTGTCAGAAATGGAGATGGAAGTCAAAGTATTTACTTTGGTTGTTGGAGTTTGGTTGGTGTTTGCTTGGAGTAGAGCAGTTACTGTCTAAATATTTTCTTTCTCTAGATTGCCCCTTTCCTGATCCGTTGGCTAGAAAGAGTGGGCTTTTGTTGGGATTCTTTTGGTCAACGCTTGTTGATGTTTCTAGGTTGCTGGCTATTTCAGATTCAAGTTGGAGATATAGGAGACAAAAAGAAAACCTTGAGAACCCATCATGATGTCATTCCTTGGTCCTGAGTTGGTCTGTCTTCTTCTCATCGCCTTTCAGCATCTTTTAATATTTGTTTTATATGTAATGTCCAAAGTTTTTGTTACACTTAGTGTGAAGAGTAAGCAGAGTATGCCTCTTGATCTTCTTAAAAGTGAAAGTTTCCACTGTACAACTCAATGCACATTAATATATTCACAGGTAAGTGCAATCATCACCACAGTCAATCTTAGAACATTTTCATCACTTCAAAATGAAACCCTATACTCTTTAGCTATCACCCTGATCTTCCCTCATCCTTCCAACTAGTCTGAAGCAACCACAAACCTATTTTCTGTACATGTATGTTTGTGTGTGTTTGTGTGTGTGTGTGTGTGTGTGTGTGTGTGTGTGTGTGTGTGTATGTTTCATATAAATGGATCATAACACCTGGTCTTTGTGACTGGTTTCTTTCATTTAACATAATATTTTCAAGGTACACCCACACTGGAGCACACATCAAGATTTCACTCCTCTTCATAGCTAAATAATATTCCATTATAGTAATGTACCACATTTTATCCATTCACCCATTGATGGACATTTGGGTTTTTTCCACCTTTTGGCTATTGTGAAAAATGCTACTATGACCATTCATGTACAAGTTTTTGTCTATATATACAATTCCATTTCTCTTGGATACCTATCTAAGAGTGGAATTTCTGATCATATGGTAATTCAGTGTTCTACTATTTGATGAACTTCCAGATTGTTCTCCACAGCAGTTGCACTATTTCACATTCCTAATAGCAGTGTAAGAGGGTTCAGATTGTGGTGAATCCTACCCTACAGTTGTTAGTATTCGACTTTTTGATCCTAGCCATCTTAATGGGTGTGAAGTAGTTTTTTTCTGTGGCTTTGATTTGCATTTTTCTGATAATGATGTTGAGCATCTTTTCATGAGCCTCCTGGCTATCTGCATATCTTATTAAGAGAAATGTTTATTCAGGTCCTAATTTTTTAATTGGGTTGTTTTCTAATTATTGATTTGTAGGAGTTCTTTGTATATCTTAGATAGAAGTCCCTTATCACATATATGATTTCAGTTATTTTCTCAAATTCTGTGGGTTGTCTTTTCACATTATTTATGATGCCCTTTGAAGCATCAAAGTTTAAAGTCTGAAGTCCAATTTATTTATTTTTCCTTTGTTGCTCATGTTTTTAGTGTCATATCTAAAAATCCCTTTTATTTGTCAATTATAACTCCATAAAGCAAGGAAAAAAAAGCCTTATCCAAATCCAAGGTCGTGAAAATTTACCTCATGTTGTCTTTTAAGAGTTTCATACTTTTAGCTTTTACAATTAGGTTTTTGACCCTTTTTGAGTTAATTTTTGTATATAGTGTGAGGTAATAGTCCAACTTTATTCTTTTGCATGTGGCTTTCCAGTTGTTCTGGCACCATTTGTTGAAAAGACTATTCTTTCTCCACTGGATGGTGCTGTCACTTGTTAAAAATCAGTTGACCATAGATATATGAGTTTAGTTCTAGAATCTCAATTCTTTTCCATTGATCAATATGTCTATTTTTGGTGCACTGCCATACTGTTTGATTACTATTGCTTGTGTTAAGTTTTGAAATAAGGAAATGTGAGTACTGCTAATTTGTTCTTTTCCAAATGTCTCTTGCTTTTACTAATATGTTTCTGTTTTTTTTTTAACAGAAAATTTATTTAGAGTGTTTATACTTTCTGAAGCACTTTCACGTAACTAATCTCAACTGAACTTCCCATATCTATTGCCTAAAATAGATTACCTTGACAAATACGCAAACAGGAACAGAGACCCCAAGTAACTCAAAGTGAAATAACATGTAAGGTAAGCCATAAAAATATATACCGAATGCTAAAGGCTTATGTATCGGACACTGTACAAGGCACTGGGATGTCTTTTAAAAGGAAAAAATCAGAGGCGCCTAGGTGGCTCAGTTGGTTAAGCGTCCGACTCTTGGTTTAGGCTTAGGTCATGATTTAATGGTTTGTGAGTTCAAGCCCCTCATAACTGTGCACCACCAGTACAGAGCCTGCTTAGGATTCTCTCTCTCCCTCTCTCTCTCTGCCCCTCCCCTGATCGTTCACTCTCAAAATAAATAAATAAACTTAAAAAAAAAATGAAGGCTAGTTTAACAACAACAAACAAAGGAAAGTTCAATGAGATCAAAGTGCTTTTCCTCTAGGAGGAGCTTATAGTCTAGTGCAGTGGTCTTCAGCAATTTTGCTCATGTACTTTAAGATTTTTAAGAAACTATGTATTAAACTGACAACTATAATGAAAATTTTCATCATTAGTTTAAACTACTACAAAAGATATCATTTCTAGTGTACTGTATGTCACATGTATATGCTTTTAATATATTTTCATCAAAATTGTAGAGCTACTGATTTGGCTGATACAATATATATAAAATGCCTGCTATTAATGACAAATCGATCAGCCAGCATCAAATTCCCTTTCTGATAGAAAATGTCTGACACTTCCTGTGTCAATTTGGGTAAACATATTAATCCAAATTTCTATGACAAATACCTCCCTTCTGAGTTAACAATTCTAAGATAGACAGATTTGGTACAGGAACCTTGACATGAGCAGGTTGCCAGGATAACATGAAGTGCAGTGCCTTTCAACATTTGTTGATTTGCTGTCAGAGACTCTCTCAGAACATGCCTTCTTGAATGAACTTTTTTTTTGGCATCAAACATTTTGGGGCAATGTAGGACTCAAATGAGTGTGTGGTATGCCTTTCTTTTAAAAAGTTGAAGAACTGAAAAGGTGAGGCAAGTGACTGCAGAAAGGTTTTCAGGCATTAATTTCAGTAAAGTTGAGGAACTAGAAATTAATCTCCTCTAAACTAACCTAAAAGCCTTGGTACAGCACTAAAGATATTCATATCTTAGTTTGAAGATCACTTGTCTAGTGGTCACAGCTGTGAGGAAAATCCAGCTCTCCTAAACCTATGACTTCAGTGCTCTCTAACAATATACTGACTCATTAAAAAAACCAACAACCTTCCTTTCAAGGTCTGAACTGCTTCTGTCTTTGCAGATGGGAAATAAAGCAGAAACAATAACAAACCATCGTTAAGTTGTTGAGTCTCCTAAAATAATTCTAAAATAAGCTAGAAAGCAAAAGAAAACCACTGCTTCCAAATAAAAATACAATGATATTTGGTATAATTTAAAAACAATACCTCCCAATCGGGGTGCTTAGGAGGCTCAGTCGGTTCAGTGTCCAACTCTGGATTTCAGCTCTGGTTGTGACCTCATGGTTCCTGAGTTTGAACACTGTGTTGGGCTTTGCGCTGATAGTGCGGAAACTGTTTGGGATTCTCTCTCTCTCTCTCTCTCTGTCCCTCCCCCACTTGCGATCTTTCTCAAAAATAAACAAACATAAAAAAAAAAAAAAGAAATAAAAACAATACCTCCCAACCAAGACCGGCTACAAAATCTTCATATGCTTGACTTCCACCTGTATTGGTGAGAATGGAATGTTTGTCTTCTTGTCCTTCAGCAACATAAAACACTGCGATCTTGTGAGTCTCTCGACTGTAAAATAAAAGATTATACCATTCATTTAATCATTAATTTATCTATTCACTCATGCAATAATTAAGTTCAATGTACAAAGTATGTGGCAATAAAAAGAGGAAAATGAATTAAATCTTATAACCTACAGAGGAAGATATGTAATTGTAAGTAAAAAATTAGGAAAGTTATAAACTTGCCAGTGGAATAAAAGAAAGGTATGATTACTTCCGACTGGAGAAACAGAGAGACACTTAAAGGAAAGAGTAATGCTAAGTTTGGTGAAGGCAAGTGAGATCTGACAAATGAAGAGGAGAAAAGAGTATCAGGAAAGACATGTGTGAATGCATGAAGCACCTAAAGAATTATCTATTGTACAATGTAGATGAATCCCAGAGTTAAATGGATGTATTTTAGAAATAAAACTAAGTATAGCAGTAGAAATATGAGTGAGAAATGATCCATTTCTTCAAAGTACAAAATAAGAAATTTATACACAAATATTATAGAACCATATGGAATAACTGACAAGGTCTTGGACATTTTTTTAAGGTCTCCCTCAAATTAAAACTGCTCATAAAAACAAATTTCTTGAGTGACATTTGGCCTTCCAAGTTAACTAGGGCATACTACATTCGGTCTAGGGTGATTTAACAACGCATGGACTAATGAACTTTATGATCAGAGGTAATGTTTTCACTACTATAGTATGTAGGAATTAAAAAGGAAGCAAACAAACCTAAGAAAGGTTAGTCAGACAACTATATTTTCCTACACATTTTGAAGGAGCTATAAGGTCATGAATGTGGGTTTCAACATCAGCAACTTAAAATCAGGAACGAAGATATTTTAGCTGCTTTCACTGATAGCAATATTTCACTTTATGTGGTGAACACTTAGGCGATTTTCGGTGTATTTAGTGTACTGGCGGGATAATCTAACCCAAGGAATAAAATATAATTTTGGGGGGGGAGGGGGACAACTTCCAGAATTATAGAGTAAGAATCTCAGTGGACCCTTTCCCAGTCAAAATAATAATCTCAGTGATGAGGATGATTTTTTAAAAATCACTTAAAGTCTCTTAATATTGTCTTAAGGGCATATAGCAAATGGCGAAACATACATTTAAGAAAATCTACCAAATCTGGTAAAAACAGAGTGAATCTTTGGCATCTGAGCCATGACTGCTCCCTTATGCTACCCCTTTACTTCCATATTACAGCTTTACCCTGGGCATTGTACTTAGGCCAAGATAAGGGTTCCTCATCCCCTCCAGGTCCCAGACTGGAAATATGGTCTCACCCTGGGAGCAGCAGTCTGCTGGCTGTGTTTCTCTTCCGCCCAGTTCCATGCTGCATAAACTATTCCAGGCAGCTATGGACTCTCTTACAACAGAAATTCTAGGTGCAAAAGGCTGAGTCTGTTCCAATTTTCCCCACCCTAGCTTATCAGTGGGATAAAGGTTTCACACTGATAGGGGAAAGAAAGGTAGGAAGATGAAGAACTGCCAATCCCTCCCCAAGTGTCCACTTATAGAGGTAGGGTATTACTCTAGGAAAAGTTGGTCCTTGACCCCAGCTCAGGTATAATACAGTGGCAGAGTACTGCCACTACATGTGTTCTGATCAGGGTGAAGGGCAGATCATATGGACAAAGAGCTTAGTAGCAGCTCTGCCTGAGGGGAATGATTTTATTTTGAAACAAAACTCCATGCCTATGGGTATTGTCAAAAACAAGAAAAAGCACGGTGGAAAAAAGCAATTAAGAGAAGTAGCACCTCCCGACACAAGTAAAAGAGCACAGCAGCCAAGAGAGAAAGAGAAGTAGAAAGAGACAGCCAAGAAGAACCCTCTTGAGAACACAGTCAAGTCTAGGGGTCAAGAAACCTGTGTACATGTACTAACTGGAACCCACACAAGAGCAATCAGAGTAAGATGCAGGACAGACAGGAAAGCATTCCCCAACCCACAAAGACTTACCAACACAAAGTTAAGCCTCATAGTACTCTACTTAAACTCAGGGTCAACTCCTAGGAAGCCACAACTTAAAAACAACATCCAGTCAACGACTGTGCATATCCAAGGCAGTACTCTCTTTGGAGCAACCAGAGAGCAAACCTCCAAGGTACTAGTCTCTGGGTGAACATGGGATTAAAAATATAAACACTCTGACTATGACAGCAACCTCTAAGCCACACACATCCACAATAAACAACAAAAAACTAACTGGTGAAGGGGGCCAAAGTAGAAACTTAAATATTAGATTATGTCAGCCCAGGGAGAACCCATGGTAGCCCTGCTAAAAGATAAAAAACTTAAAAAAATTTTTTGAGCAGGGAGATCTGAGGCTGCACATTGTGGGGAAATAGACTTTGTAGGATTAGTTTAGCCCCATCATTAGAAAATAAATGATCAAGTAAACAACCACCACTACCAATACACTTTTGATTCAAAGACACAAATAATGTTGAAAGCAAAATAAATGGAAAAAGATACCATGCAAACAGTAACCAAGAAATCTGGGGTGGCTACAGTTAGTATTAGACTTTAAAACAAAAAATGTTAGTGATAAAGAGACATTTCCTAATGTTAAAAGGTCAACCTACTAAGAAGATATTTTTTTTTCCTAAGAAGATATTAAATTAACACACATGTACTCACACAGAGCTTCAAAATAAATGAAACAAAAACAGAATTGGAGACAGAAACAGACACTTCTGCAATCGTAGTTGAAGACTTCAATACCCTACTTACAATATTAGACAAAGAAAAGAGTATCAACAGGAAAACAGAAGACTTGAACAACACTATAAACCAACTAGACCTAAAAGGACATCTATAGAACACTCCAGAAAGTGGAGAAACACATTCTTCTAGCAGAAAACACATTCTTCTCAAGAATACAAGAACATCCTTCAGGCCAGATCATTTGGTAATTAAAAAGCCTCAATAAATTTGAAAAGACTGAAATTATGCAAACTATATTTTCTAATCACAATGGAATGAAAGTAGAAATCGATAAAAAGAAAAAAAACTTTGGGAATTTCACATACATGTAGAAATGAAACAATGTACTCCTAAATAACTGAAAGAATAAATGTCAAGGGAAATAAGGAAATACTTAGAGATGATGAAAATGAAAACATAACATACCAAAAGTGATGGCATGCAGGTAAAGCAGTACTCATTGGTAAATTTATAGATGTAAATGCTTATATTAAAAAAAGATGGGGTGTCGGGGTGGCTCAGTTGGTTAAGCGTCTGACTCTTGATTGATTTCGGCTCAAGTCATGATCTCAAGGTTTGTGAATTCGAGCCCCACATGGGGCTCTGCACTGACAGTGTGGAGCCTGTTTGGGATTCTCTCTCTCGCTCTCTTTCTGACTCTCCCCTGCTCATGCTCTCTCAATCTCCCTCTCAAAATAAATAACTTAAAAAAAAAAGATGGAAAGATCTTGCATCAATAACTAAACTTTCTACCTTAAAAAACTAGAAGAAGAGCAACTAAAATCAAAGCAGGTAGAGGAAGGAATTAATAAAAACTAGAGTGGAAAGAAAATGAAATGGAACAGAAAAACAACAGAGAAAAAATCAACAAAACCAAAAATTGGTTCTTTGAGATAATAAAAAAAAATTGAACCTTATAGCTAGACTGAACAAGAAAACAAGAAGAATCAAATTACTAAAATCAGAAACTAAAGAGATATCATTATATATGTTACAGAAATAAAAAAGATTATAAGGCAACTATGAACAACAATATTAATTTATGCCAACAAATTAGATAACTTAGATTAAATGGAAAAATACCTAGAGACACAAATTACTAAATTCAACTCAAGAGGAAACAGAACACCTGAGTAGACCAATAACAAAGAGAATCAATTAGTAATATGACTGCAAAGGAATAAATAAAACTACATCCACTTGCAGATGAGATGATTTTGTATATAGAAAGGAATCTACTAAAAAGTGTTTAGAGCTATTAAATGAGTTCAGGAGGGTTCAGGATACAATACCCACATGTAAAAATCAGGTATTTCTATATACCAACAATGAACAATCAGAAAACAAACATAAGAAAATTCCTTTTATAAAGCCATGTCACTAAAACTAATGAATTACTTAGGTAAATAGGTACAAAAGTACTCAACAAAAAGTTAAGCATAAAACTTATACTCTGAAAACAGAAGTTCAAAACTTATACTCTGAAAAATCACAAAACATTATCAAAATTAAAGATCTTTAAAAAAAATTTCACACTCATGGACGGAAAGAGTTAGTATTGTTAAGATAGTACCCTCAAACTGATCGACAAACTTAATGTAATCCCTATCAAAATCCCTGCTGCTGTTTTTGTAAAAATTGACAAGCTCAGTCTAAAATTCATAGGAAGATATAAAAGATCTGGAATGGGGCGCCTGGGTGGCGCAGTCGGTTGGGCGTCCGACTTCAGCCAGGTCACGATCTCGCGGTCCGTGAGTTCGAGCCCCGCGTCAGGCTCTGGGCTGATGGCTCGGAGAATGGAGCCTGTTTCTGATTCTGTGTCTCCTCTCTCTCTGCCCCTCCCCCGTTCATGCTCTGTCTCTCTCTGTTCCAAAGATGAATGAACGTTGAAAAAAAAAAAAAATTAAAAAAAAAAAAAAAAAAAAAAAAAAAAAAAAAAAAAAAAAGACAAAGTTGGAGGACTCATAATCCCAATTTAAAAACTTGCTACATTGCAGCAGCAATCAATGCACTGTGATAGTGTCATAAGAAGTGACAAACAGGTCTATATGGAACAGAATCTTTGGTCCAGAAATAAACCTTTATATTCACTGTCAATTGCTTTTTGACAACAGTACCAAGACAATTCAATGGGAAAAGAAGAGTCATGTCAACAAACAGTGCTGGGGCAAATGGATATCCACAAGCAGAAGAATGAAGCTGAATTCTTACCTCGCAACTTCTGATCTTACACCAAAAACAACAATCAAAATGAACCACAGATCTTAATATAAGGTCTACAACTGTAAAAGTCTT